CCTACAGCCAAGGATGCAGAGGCCTGGTAGGGAAAGCTGCAGGTCAGACATATTTCGGGGAAAGGTCAAATCTAGTTTTGCATATATTTTATGTAAGGTGTCTACTAGAGATGCTTTGGAGCTTAGGAGTTTTCTTCTAGGCTAGGGACAGAAATATTAAAATTGGCAGCATTAAAGCCATAACGCTATGAGATTGAGATCAAGATAAGTATAAATAGAAAAGACAACCAAGTACTATCTCCCCCTCCCTCAAGTACTAGCTTACAAAATTACAAAAGTATTAGTTTACAGGATTACAAAAGTATTCCATGTGCAAGGCCCTCATAAATTGGTTCTCCTTCCTCTCCAACCCATATCCACATTTATACAAAGCACACTTTGTCTTACCGTATTACATTGCTATAGTTCTGGGAATTCATTGCTATTTTGTTCATGTTCTACCCTCTCCTTAGAATGCATTTCTTGCCCTCCCACTAAACAAATTCCTAGGCATCCTTCATAACCTTTCCCAGGATCAATTCTATTTAATATTATTTTCGTACTTTGTGAGCATATGCTATTAGTAGCACATGTTTGTATATACCTGTATTTCCTACTAAGTTTAAATTCCTTTGCATTCTAGGTATTAGCACATAGGTGTTTGTATATTGAAATAATTGCTTTATGCTTTGAATGAGCAACTTTGATGTTCGTGAGAACTCTAAAAAATTTTAGATCCACAAGTAGAATACTTTAAAACTCTATTCTTCAGTTTTGTAATGGAAATAGAGTTTTTTAACTTTTAATTTAGAAGTTCTTTTAACTTCTAAAAGCTTTTTGATTGTTTACAGTCAAGTGATTTCTGCGTAGCCCTCTTATGTTTATGCCTTTGATACTACATGTACTTTGCTAAATCATGTTTAAAAGTTGATGATATTACTCTGATATATTTAGAATATCCACTTCTTAAAATAATTCAGAGCTAAGTGATCAGGATTCCAAAAGTATTCCATTTCAGTCAGACATGTAATGTTCACGAGAGTTAAACTATTTGAAGGTCAATTTTGCTGGTAGTTACATTTAATAGCCACTTTAAAATTCTGTTTATAGCATATCCTGACAATCTATTAATAATCGAACTTGCTTAATTCCTTTCTTAAATAGCGATCAAACAATTTTATAGTATCCCAATTCTGGAATTTAAAATGTGTAGGTGTCTGTCTGTTTGTCCATAGAAAAATATTGAAAGATTCTGTATATCAAAGTTATTTCTGGGTGTAGTCTTAAAGGATATTTTCACTTCCTAAGTCATTTCTATGGTGATGGACTAGGTTTTTTTTCTGTTTTTGTTTTTTAATCAAGACATGTATATTTTAAAATTTTGCAAGGAAAGACTAACTTGCCTATTTCCTAATGATTCAGTATTGTGTCCTATATTTAGACTTGATCTGTCTACCCTAATGTAAACTTTTTTTAGTAGTTAATTTCTAATAGATTCAGTCTAGCACCCTGCACTATAATCACCTTTTCCTTCTGTGTGAAGGTAAGAAATACCTGGTTTTTATCATTTTAAAAATTTTAAATATACTTGAATCCTGATAATTACCTAGAAATTATTCTTAAAATTTTTTAAATTCAAGTTCACTCACTTATAATTTAGAAGCTTGACTTCTGAGTTTTTAAGTTTTTCTTTGTTGTTGTTTAGTATTAGACTTCATAATATAATTTTTCAATCACTCTTGTGTTGTTGATCCTCACCTGAGGATATTTTTTCATTGATTTTTAGAGAAAGTGGAAGGGAAGGAGGGGTGGGAAAAGAGAGAGAAAGAAAAACATCAATGTGAGAGAGAGAGACATTGATTGGTTGCCTCCCCCACATGGCCCAGTCAGTATTGAGCATGCAACCCAGGTACATGGATTGACACTCTAAGCACTGAACCACACCGGCCAGGGCTCAGTCACTTTTAAAATACAGAGACTAATTTTTTTTTTTTTTAATCCTCACCCAAGGATATGTTTTTATTGATTTTTAGAGAGAGAGAGGGAGGGAGGGAAATATTGATCGGTTACCTCCTGTACGCACACTGACTGAGGATTGAACCTGCCACCTATTGATGTATGGGACAATGCTCCAACCAATTGAGCCACTGGCCAGGGCCAGAGACCAAATTTTTTTTAAGTGCAGTGGAGTGATTTTTAGGTAATTTGCTCTAAATATAATTAATAAAACTATATTATAAAAAAGAAATTAGTGCACCCAGTTTGTGGTGCTATACTAAGTTAAAGAGTAGCATTATGTTGCATGGTATCACTTACATATGGAATCTTAAGAAAAATCTCAGAAATAATAGAAAAGTGGTTGCCAGGGTGGGGAAATAGGGAGAGATTGGTAAAAGGGCACAAACTTTCAACTTCAAAATGAATACGGTCTGAGGCTCTAAGGTAGAAAACACTGTATTATATAACTGAAATTTGCTAAGAGAGGAGAACTTAAATGTTCCCACACACCAAGAACGGTAATTACATGAGGTGATGGGTGTGTTAATTAAATGGGAGGAATTCTTTAAAAAAATAATAGATATTTATGTAAGATGGGAAGCTGTATTTTATAGCTTAACAATCAGTATCTGCCAATAGAAAACCTATGAGTGATAAATGGTGGGTATGTGATGAGCCCACTAAATTTTAATCATGAAAAGGTTTTGGATAAAATGTTCAGATTTTAAGAAGACATACAAAATGTTCAAGGGTAGTTGGTCACAATTAAATAATAAAAAACAGTAGCATAAAAATGAAATAATTGAGGCAGGAAGGCTAAAGTTCCAAATGAACATAACTGTCTGTAATGGGGTGGGGGGTGTTTTTTAAGAGCTGTGATACATTCTGTTGTTTTCCAGTACCTAAATTTTAACATTTCAGAGGATACTGTTTTAAAAATTACCTACAATTTTGACCACATTCTTTAGAATATGCTTTTAATTTTAATTTATTGATTGATATTAGGAAGAGAGAGAAATATCTATTTTTTCTACTTGTCTATGTATTCATTAGTTGCTGTTTGTATGTGCCTGGAGATCAAACCTGAAACCTTGGCTTGTCAGGATGATGCTCTAACCTATTGAGCTACCTAGCCAGGGCCTTTTGGAATATGCTTTTAAACGATTTTTGTATGTAATAACAGAAGTTGAATCATAATTTTTATATATATATGTAGTTGGAATATGCTTTCCGCCCCACAAAACAATATATCAACACTGCTTTTCTGTGCTAATATATATAAATATATCATGCTTTATTTAATTAGTTCCTTCTTGGTGGACACTCGGACTTTTTTCTCTTTTTTGCAGTTATAAAAGTATGTTGATTAACATTCTGGTTGAGCCATTTCTTTAACAGTTTTAAAAACCGATGTGCCTAGGCTCTGGCCAGGTAGCTCAGTTGGTTAGAATGTCGTCCTGATACGCCAGGGTTGCAGGTTCCATCCCTGGTCAGGGCACATACAAGAATCAACCAATGAATGTATAAATCAGTGCAACAACAAATCAGTATTCTCTCTCTCCCTCTCATCAATGAATAAAAATTTAAAAAAAAAACACACCTGTGTTCCTATATTGCAAATGACTAATTAGGGTGTATTGTTCGTATTTCCTGCTGTTAACCAATGCCATTGTGATCTGGAACTAGCACTGAAAGAGTAGGACTTACTCTTTGTAGCTGTTTTGTTGGCATCAGATTGTTTCATTTTTGAACTCATTTTTATTTGATGTTTTCTTTTAATGTTTTTATCACCTGCTATACGCCATTGTTAAGATTTTTAAGAAGACAGTGTATAGTCCTAGCCAGTTTGGCTCAGTGGCAGAGCATGGGCCTGAGGACCGAAGGGTCTCTGGTTCAGTTCCAGCCAAGGGCATGTACCTCAGTTATAGGCTCAGTCCCCAGCCCCGATAAGGGTGCATGCAGGAGGCAGCCTGTGTGTGTCTCTCACATCAGTGTTCCTCTCTCCCTCCCCTTCCACTCTCTCTGAAAAGCAATGGAAAAAATATCTTCCAGTGAGGATTGAAAAAAAGGCAATGTATATAAGCAGCTCAACTAATGATAGTGCTATAGTGATAGTAGGAAGAAAAGATTATGTAGATGCTATTCAGATTTGTCATATTTAATCAGCCTTTATGGTAGTAAAATTGATGAGCTATTAAAAAATTTTTTTTGTTGACAGCTCTGTTGGCAAAATAGCTTTGTTACTATGAATCTGAAACTTTTTAGCTTTAATCCCTTTTCCCATGGAACAGTAGTTTTAATTACATACAGTTTCTTAGCAGGTAGTTTTCAAACTGAGGTATTTTGTTTATTTCAAAATGCGGGTTCTCTTGTTCCATTTCCAGAGATTCTGCTTCTGAAGGTGTGGGGTGGGGTCCAGGAATCTAGGTTTTGAATACCACCCCATGTGACTCTGTAGGTGGCTCCTGGCTCAATGAATAGAATTTGCATAATTTTGCATATTTGGATTATATTCTTAGAATAAATCTCTAGAGTAGAATTACTTGGACAAAGGAAATGCACTTTTTAGGCTTTTTGATACATGGTTCTAGATTGTCTTCTAAAGATACATCCATTGACATTCCCACCAGCAGAGTGTAAGGATCCCATTTGCTACCGCCTTACAAGTATAAGTATCATCATTTGTTTTGATCAATAAGAGATGTTTTTAAATTTTTTGAACTGTAGATGACAAGGAAAATGTTGGCATTTATATAGCATGTATTATTCTGGACTTCTTAGTAATTGTTTACTGTATTTATCTCTAAATGTATACAAGTGTATGAAAACTATGAGTTGAATCTGGGTGTAATGACTGGCAAAATCTGCTTATGAATAGATAGTAATCTTCATAAGGATATGAAGTTACTGTGGAAAGATAGGATTTTTTAATCATGTAAAAAAGATTTGGTACTCTTTCAATATGTTCATTTTAACAAATGCAGCTAATTATATTTTATTGAGTACATTTTGGTTTGTTCCAGTAGCCGGATCGAGCTGGGAGATGTAACACCACACAATATTAAGCAGCTGAAGAGATTAAACCAGGTCATCTTTCCTGTCAGCTACAATGACAAGTTCTACAAGGATGTGCTGGAGGTTGGCGAGCTAGCAAAACTTGGTATAATATGTTGTTTTTCTTCATTTGTTCATGTTCTTGACCCCTAGTTTTTAATAGTAGAACAGAAAGAGTTAACCAGTTTAATCTCCTTATTTTACAAGTGAAGAAATGGGGACGATCCAGGTTCTGAGAAAAATCTCAGAGAAATTAAGACAAAATATTTGAAATTTAAAAGGAAATGCTGCAGCTTTTATTTATTGTTATGCCTGTGTGTTTTCACATATTTAGCTTTAATCTAGATGAGAATTAAATTTCTAAGAAAGTGTAGGAGGTTTTTAAAGCTGTCAGAATTCAGAGTAGCTGATAAAATTTAATACTGAAAGCAAGTTTAATCATCATAGATGGTGTTGGAAAGATTTAATGAAATGTGTTATTCTGACTGTTGAATGTTACATCTTTATGTTTTCCATGGCAGCCTATTTCAATGACATTGCAGTCGGTGCCGTATGCTGTAGGGTGGATCATTCACAGAATCAGAAGAGACTTTACATCATGACACTAGGATGTCTGGCACCATACCGAAGGCTAGGAATAGGTAAAATTATTTGTGTGTTCTTTATCTCTTCAGAGACGCATAAACACATTGTTATTGTTCCTGACCCAGTAAGTCAAAGTGTTTCTTTTAGGAATACTGGAGAATGGTTACTGAATTATATGAGATAAGGTGAAAACTACTTATTTATTAGCATAATTCAATTGGAAGTCCTATATAGATTTGTTATCCATGTCCCTTTTGCTTTTTCTGTTTTCCTTCTACCTGGAATGTTTTGTATATAAAGGTTGCTTTTCTGCTAGCATTTTTACACATGAATAGTATAGAGAGAGAACAAATATTTGGAAAATCAGGAGTTCTAGTATTTGCTTCAAATTCTGTAAGGACTCATTAAGTGTTAGGATGGTCATTAGATGTGTAATTTAAAGGTTGATCTTTATGAGATTACTAATTTGTTTGTCTTATTAATAGGAACTAAAATGTTAAATCATGTCTTAAACATCTGTGAAAAAGATGGCACTTTTGACAACATCTATCTGTAAGTAAAATTGTATTTAATACAGTTATCTAAAGAGTTTAGTAAATTGGCAATAGAAATCTTTATAGAAACTTTAAAATCTGATCACTTATTTCATTGTCTTTTTTAAAAATATATATTTCTATTGATTTCACAGATAGTAGGAAGAGAGAGGGAGAGCGAGGTAGAAACATCAGTGATGAGAGAGTCATTGATTGGCTGCTTCCTCTAGGCCCTGTCCTGGGGATTGAGCCCACAATCCAGGCATGTGCCCTGACTGGGAATCGAACTGTGACCTCCTGGTTCATACGTCCACACTCAACCACTGAGCCATGCCAACTGGGCTCATTGTCTTTTGGAAACACCATGGTCGAGGGTGGTTATTAATAGTACTTTTCTTTGCCCTCAGTTTGCACTCTGCGTTTTGTTCAAGTGTCTTCCTTATGTGCTCATTAGTAGTAGTGTTTAATTATCAAAATCAGAGAGTACCTGGCAGGTATTATACTTGGATCATAAGACACCTCGGATTAAGAGCCAAGGATAGGTCGTAACAATGGATTGTTTATGATATAGATTTTATTCTCATTTTTACTTTGACAGTGGGAGAGATTAAGTTATATAATGCTATTTGAGGAGTAATTAAGAAAGCTCAAATAATTTATTTTCAAAATATAGCATGTTTTTATATCAATCACAAAGAGGATATATTCAGGCATTTGAGACTCTGGTTTTTAAATTTTTTTTTCCTGCATGTGTTAATATGGTCTTTGAATCATGCCTATGATTCTTACCCATTATTAATTACAGGAATCTTTTCTCTCCTTGCAATAGAAAATGTTATGATAGCTAGCCCTTTGTTGATTTTAAGAATAAACACTATTCCTTGTGTTGCCTAATCTTAGCCAACTGCCTTGTAAATGTAAAAGTTAGGTTAAAAGTGTAAATCTGTCATCAGAAGGTATTCTGAAATGAATACTTAATCTTTGTTTATTACTAATAATTGTAAAGAAAATCTTTAACAGATGTCTGCAGTATTCCACCTTCAACCAATTTGAAGCTATCTGTGGGAACACGTAAAAGCTAATGAGATCTTAATTTTTTTATTTTTTTTTTCCCTGATACCCTGTTTTATATCTCAGGCATGTCCAGATCAGCAACGAGTCAGCAATTGACTTCTACAGGAAGTTTGGCTTTGAGATAATTGAGACCAAGAAGAACTACTACAAGAGAATAGAGCCCGCAGATGCTCATGTGCTGCAGAAAAACCTCAAAGTCCCTTCTGGCCAGAATGCAGATGTGCAAAAGACAGACAACTGAACAAATTACACATGAACTTTCTTGCACTTGCTTGTCGCCAAATAAAAGAAAGGCCCATTGATTTTTTTCCCCCTTTTCTTTTAAGACTTTTCCCACTCCTTGTTCTTGTTTTTCCTCCTTTCTTTCCTTCCCTTTCCTCTAAAAGTTTTAATACTTTCAAAATTAATCATGTTTGGGTTGTTTTTGTTTTCTTATTTTGTGAGGTGAGGTGATTGTAGTAAGGAGAGGTATAGATCTGTTTATTTCACAGTTACGATATATGGTCCCGAAAATTTGGATGTCAGTTTCAATTTAGTTTTAGCTTTTTTTATGTCCTGCTTTCACATTGAAGGGCAGAGCCTACAAAATATTATATATTTCAAAAGACAAAGAAGCAGCAGCAATATCTTGTTCTCTAAATAGACAAGTTTAGTGTGTTTGTGGTACTTTGGGTTTTTCAAGACTGTTTGTGGGATACTAATCCCTAGACATTGCCTTCAACTCCACCTTTATACTTCTAAGTACTATCTCAGGAGTTGGACCATTGTTATCCTTGTAAAAAATACTAAGCTTATTTTGTTATTTTAAGCAATTGTTTCTTCCTCATTGGTGGCTGAGGGTGGGTGGGATAGTTTGGGTAGGTAGTGTTAGACTTGGGTCTCAATATTTGAGTTAAACTGCTTTTTAATAATGAGTTGGTTGGTTGTTAGCAGGTATATTTTTCCTGCTGTTGATTGTTATTAGTGGCATTAACTTTTAGAGTGTGAGCTGGTGAGATTGATTTTTTTAAAATATCCCAGCTAGAGATATGGCCTTTAACACTGACCTAAAGAGGTTTGTTGTGATTTTTTTTTTTTCCCTCCCTTTTCTTTAGTAAACTCACAGTAGTTAGTCTAACCTTCAAAATGGAGTTGATGTCCTTATAGGTCAATACCCCTGAAGAATCCTGAAGCAGGTGTTGTCTCTTGGACATACTAAAACATACCTAAAAGTAAGTTTAGATGGACTTGTGGCACAATAAATGCATTGAATGTCAGCTAATGCAGGCTGTTAAAAGTGTGGCCACTGAGCATTTGATTATATAGGAAAGAATATCTAGACAGTATTTTTGAGAACGACGTAGCTGTGCTATTGCTTATCTGTTGGAGAACATCCCAGATTTGCTTACATTCTGTGCCTATGATACTGAGTTTAAGGATTTGGGGGAGGGAGAATTGTTAAACATTGCTTCTATTCTTGGAAAAGTAAAAGTCTAGAAGTGTTACTAATGCAAATGTCACTGTGACCTCCTCTACTGACAGGACTGGTTTATGCCAGATCATTTTCTGGTGTATAAGGAATGGTTTTGACGGGTTGATAAATTTTTGTAAGATAGGAGACATCTGAAATTTCTTGTTTTCCTCCATAGACCCATCTCCAATATTTAAATTTTTATGATTGCCAGTATTGGTGGCCCAACAAATGATCTCATTAGACTTTAAAACAGTGCACAGAGTTTGAAGATTCTGTCGTTTGACTTTCAAAGGAAGGTTGGTTCACAATATTTATCCTCTTATGTAAATTCTGCTATGAAAGTCTCATCTCTCCAAATATGTTACATGACAAAATTATTTTACACAATGTTTATGCACACTTTATAATCTTAAGTTCTTATTTGAGAATGTGAAAGTACAGAGTACAATAGACTTCAGCAGTCTTAACTGAGTGCCAAGAATAATACAGAAAAGGAAGATAGTTGATGGATGAGTTTATATATGGTTCTAATCTTAAGATAGTAAAAATGTAGAAAGACACCATGCTTGTTTCTTGAGTATCAGTTACTTCAGCAGTCGAAATCTAAGCTTAGAATAAAAGTTTAGCATTAAGCACCTTTACCTTCATGGATAAGCTTCTGCTTGCTCTTGCCAAGAGAAGAGTGCTTGAGTTACAGAAGGCATAATTAGTTTGAAGAATTCAGCCTTTTTGTAAACTTCCAGATATCAAAATAGATTTTGATATATAAATGAGTTTTCTGAGATGACACTGCCTCTATTTCTATAACCATTTCACCTGGACTATCTAATCAGTCCTATGAATGTATCCCTAAATGTGGTTATTGAAAACCGAATAGCTGCCTCATGACAAGTACATGTTATTTAAGGAGGAAAAAATATTAAATTTTGAATTGAGTGTGTAGGCTCCCTATCATTATAGTGTTTCTTTTCCACACTAGTCCGTGACTTTACCCTAAATTGTAAATGTTTGTAAAGGGTTAATTGTCCTACATCAGACTTGTGTTAAATAATTCCATCCACTTGCGGAGGAGGACACAGGAGAGGTGGAAGCTGGGCGCTAGTTCTTACGCTTATGAGTCAGTAAAAACAAAATAATGCCCCCTGTTGAGTCGGTTATTTTGAAATGTGATGAAAACTATTATTGAAGTAAAACAATTCTATTAACTGGACAGGTGGTTTTTACTGTGGGGCAAATAGGTAAAAATTATACTGTATGGCAGTTGCATTTGGGTTCTAAAGAAAAGAATCTGCAGAGAAATCTATGCAATATATAATTTGTCCAGATTAGTTTTTATATGGGGAAAGAAGTTCTGAAATATCCCCAAAGCAGTTTACTCATCAATTGAAAGTCCTCCAAAAACAGAACTATTGGGAAACCGTGGTATGTGGGATGGAAAAGAAAAGCTCCCTCAGTTTTTTGGAGGGAATAACTTTAAAAATACTTAAATGGCTAAGTTTACTTGGTGCAGTTAAGAATTAAACTTGTTGATTTTACATTGCTGTTACATCTGAAATAAACTTATGTGATGTTCTGGTAGTAATCTGTGACGTGTTATAAATGTCAACAAAAAATCTTTGTTTTGAATTCTGAGATCAGATATAAGTAGTTATTGTTCACTGTTGCCCAGTTTGATTTTCAAATACTTTTACATATCTTTAAGATCTTACTTAAAACTAATTAAAATAGCCAAAGTCTAATCAAGAGCCTCCTAATTCAGACCTTTTGGAACTTGCTAGAAACGTTACCCAGTATCTGCAGTTCAGTCTCAATGAGAGAAAAAGATGTAAGGAGTCTTTTTCTGCTGTTATGTTTTGAATGTAATTGTTAAAGACACCTCACACTTTAGGTGTAAGATCACACCTTACACTGTGATCTCATTAGCGGTGTGTGTTCACTATAGGTAATGTATAATGTATTCAGTTTTGCTTTGTTTTGTTAGCTGTGAGAAAGGCGTGAGTTGGGAATTGCTTTTTAAGTATTTTTACTACCAAATATGGGTTTAAATTTTTCTCTTTAACAAAATTAACTCGGTATTTAATATCTTAGTCGAAAGTGTTAGAATTTTGCTTATTCCATTCAGGAAACTGGGTGATCTTTGCCTAATGTCTTAGTTATCACTGTGTAGCACACTACCCTGCAATTTAGCAGTTTAAAACTTGTATTATCACCCACAATTTTTGAGTCAGGAATCCAGGAGCAGCTCAGCTGGGTGGTTCTGGCTTGAGGTCACAATGAAACTGTCAGCCAGGGTGGCATCATCTTGAAAGCTTGACAGGCTGGAGTAACCATTTCAAAGATGGCTCACACATTCACTTGGCTGTTGGAGGGATTTAGTTTCTTCCTATGCTGGTGTCTCCACAAGGCTGCCTGAGCGCCAAGTGGCATCTGGCTTTCCCCAGAGCAAGTGATCCAAGAAAGCAGGAGCCATACTATCTTTAGAAGTGATACACTAGTTAACTTTGCCGTATTCCACTGGTCACAGAGACCAACCATTGTATCAACTTGGTACGATGGAGAATACACAAGGATATTAATACTGGGAGGTGGAGATCAGTGGATGTGGCTCCATACTGTGCATGGAGAAAATGTTAGGCTTTGTTGACAACCAAGGCAGGATTGGAAAGATTCTGTGACCTTTTGGAGGAGTTAGTTTCCAACATGAGGGTTAGAAAGCACTGCACTTTGTTATTCAGAGTGTAAAAGAAGTAGGGAGTGGGTCTAAAAGTTTTGTTCTTAAGAGTTTTTTGCCTGGGTGGGGATATATAGTAATCTCTCTCCCAAATAGGTGCATTTCTAGTTGTGTGAACTGAATATTCCTGGGACATTGGGTACTGTAGTAAGTATGAGTGGTGACCCTAATAATTTTTCAGGGAATAAATCATGGCAGAGGGTCCCAAATTGTATTTCCCTTATAAGGCTGTGCCACAGGAATTTAGTCCTAGTTGATGATACAACCAAATAACATTGCCATATGAAAAAGAGGACTTGAGTCAGATTTTTAAATGTAGATATAGTTATCTTGATAGAACATTAAGAAATGTGAAGTCACTTTCAACAATACAGATAAAAATATATAAAAAAAAAAATGTGAAGTCAGAATAATCTATTACTGGGGCAGAAATTCTCAACCTTTCCAATTCTAAATTTAGAACACTTGATTTCTTGGGTAAAATTGTTTATCTAGAATCAAAGTCTGCTCCAGAAATAGTTGGGAGCATAAAGTTAATATAAAGCAATTACTACTTAGCCTACAATTTAAAGCTCTTGAATTATGGCTTGTTTTATAATTGTGATGAAAGCTTAAATCCAGCATTTGGGAAGGTATCCTATTGGGGAATATTTTGGAATTTTTGAACTTTGAATTAGATATTTCTGATATGCTGCATAGCTGAATTTCATCTGTTTTACTCTATTTACTGTCCTGGAAACACTCAAGACATCTGCATTTATAAAGGACCTAAGTAGTATAAATTAAATCCACATGTTAAATGGCTGCAGCTTCAACAGAATATCTGACTATAAGGTTTTTCTTTGTTTCCTTGACCAAACTTCTGGAACTAATCTTAGTTCATCTTTTAGAAGTTGTATTGGCAATATCAAAAGTTCTCTATAAAGATTTGAACAATCTTAAATTCTGTTTGTCACTAGCAATCTCTTACACCAGTGATTTTCAACCGGAGTGCCGTAGTACAGTTGTGTGCCACAAGAATTTTTAAAATATGCAAGACCTGACCAGTCAGGGACAGTGACCTCTTTTCCCTTAGAATGTCAAATTAAAAATGACAACAGCAACACAATAGACGTCCCACGTGACTGAATCAAAATAAACATTTATGTTTATTTTTTTAATCCTCACCCAAGGATATTTTTTCCATTGCCTTTCAGAGTGGAAGAGAGAGAAACATCAATGTGAGAGAGACATTGCCTCCCTCACGCGCCCCAACTGGGGCCTGGGGATGGACCCTGCAACCAAGGTACATGCCCTTGTCTGGAATCGCACCCAGAACCCTTCAGTCCTTGGGCTGATGCGCTTACCACTGGTTTGAGCACCTACTGTTCATGAGCTCTAAGGATATGTCATCTAGGCAAATGTGAAACGTGGCCTTGTTTTTAAATGTGTTTTTTTTTTATTTTTAGGGGGGGAGAGAGACATCAATGTGAGAATGAAACATCCATCAGCTGCCTCCTACAGGCCCTCTACTGGGGATCAAGCCTGAAATCCAGGCATGTGCCCTGACGGAACTGGCAACCTTTTGGTACACGGGACAACGCCCAACCAACTGAGCCACACCAAGCCAGGGCAATCATGACCTCTAAAGGGAAGTAAAATTCTAATTTACATAGAATGAATTCATGTCTAAGTAGAAGCCTGCTGCTTTACTAAAATAACAGCCAGAGCCTCCAAGAAACTTTAAAAATATTTTTGTGGCCTGGCCAGCGTGGCTCGGTGGTTGAGCATCAACTTATGATCCAGGAGGTTGCGGTTTGGTTCCAGGACAGAGCACATGTCCAGGTTGTGGCTCCATCCCCAGTAGGGGGTGTACAGGAAGCAGCTGATCAATGACTCATCATTGATGTTTCTCTCTCTGTCTCCCTCTCCCTCCCTCTCTGAAACCAATAAAAATATATTTAAGAAATTTATTTTTTAGAGAGGAAGGGAAAGGGAGACACTGATGCAAGAGCACAAGATGGATCGGCTGCCTCCTGCATGCCCCCTACTAAGGATCAAGCCTGCAGCCTGGGCATGTGCCCTGCCGGAATCAGCCAGCATCCTTTCAGTGCAGAGAATGACAACCACCAGCTGAGCCACACCGGCCAGGGCGAGCCTCCAGGAATTTGGACTTGACTTTGGAAGGGACTTGGTGGAGAAGAATATTCTCTACACTGACTGGCTTTCTCTTAACTGGCATTTTAGCTGAAGATCATACTATCAGCCAAATTAGGAGTGACTTTCCATACAATTTGACCTTTTGCATCAGAATCCAAAGAGTATGCCTGTCTACCTCCCTAGATCTTTTCTTTCACCATTTAGTTTCTGATCTCTGACACATACTTCTTCCCCAGGTGACTGATGCTAGAAATGACCACCTGTTAGGTACTTGATTCAGTTCATTTATTTTACATAAAAGGAAATCTGTATGACCTTTGCTTACACTTATCTGTGCAGTCTTCCTCATACTTTGTCTTAATTACTTGGTTGTGGTTAAAACACTGTTAACTCCTGAAATTGTAACTAACACATTACCCCATACTAACTTCTCCTCTTATCACACCCTCTCGCTACATAAAATTGTCTAGGGTCTCTTAACTTCAAACCGAAATTCACCTAATACTAAGTAACCTGGAACGGATTTAGAGTGTGATTCCTGCTTAATTGTCAGTCCTTAAAGTTAAAAAAAGAAGTGTTCCTTGTAACCTGTAGGTACACTGCCTTATATGAGATTTGGTCAAGGAGTATGCCCACGATGGGACTGGCACTAACAATACAGCAGTGAAAAAAATGGGCATGGTCTCCCCCTGATGATCCTTAACAGCCTGGTAGGAAACAAACATTACTTCAGTTGCCATGAGGTACCATGTTGGAATGGGAGGCATAATAAATTTTACAGAATTTTGGAGAAAACATTTAAATCAATTTTAACTTTGGTTATGAATACAAAGTGAATTACTGTTAATATTGTGTTTCTAAAAATATTTTATTGATTTTAGAGAGAGGAAGGGAAAGGAAGAGAAACAGTGCGAGAGAAACATCAATCGGTTGCCCCCCACACCCCCCCCCCAACCAGGGATCAAACCCACAACTCAGGCATGTGCCCTGACTGGGAATGAAAACAGTGGCCTCTCTTCGGTGCACAGGATGACACTCAACCAACTGAGCCACTCTAGCCAGGACAATATTGTTCTTTTTATACCTAATTGTGAAAATATGGGAGAGAATTACTAATAAGACCTTAAAATTGAAAAACCCAAGATACATCAGCAGTATTTCGATACAGAACCAAATAAGTTTCATAAAAGCTAGATACAAGTTATCAGGAACATTATGTCAGCACTCACCAGCTGGAAAATGGAAAACTAACCCATTCACACATTCTAAAGGAGGGAGTAATTTATTAAAAGAATGAGTATGCAAAGTAGCAAGTTCTTTTGGAACTTGGTGAATTAACAGAAGAGCTAGTGATATACCACATTCATGAATGTAAAGAATATTAAATTTCTATAAAAATGTCTACAAAACTGAAATTTGACAATTCAAACATACATCCTCCAGGAAAGTTGTAAAAATCAAAAAGTTTTTAAAAAGGTCTGATTTAACAAAATTAAAAATATATCTTAAAAGGGACTTCAAAAATTTTGCATTAAGAACTTAAAGCTACTCTTAAAGAGCTCATATCTAAGGGAAACAATGAAGTCTTTTGATAATTAAAGGAAAAATCACAAAAGAAAAACAATGATGGGGAAAACTCTAATAAGTAGGCAATTTATAAAACTGGCTTTATTTTTGCCTAATGATGAGAATTTGAAAATATAAATTGAATT